CAGCATTTGACTGATGTATTGAGCAGCTGGCAAGGCTGCTGGCTACGGCTGGAAAACTGATCGATCTCTTGAAAGTAAACTTCTTATACCACGGCTATCACTACTATCATTATCATCAATGCTGACTCTCGTTCTGTCATCTCGTCTAATGTTATCGTTGTCATCGCTACCCCCACGCTTCCATGGAGTAGGTGTAACGTCGCCTTAGCGGGTAATTCTTTAAGTTACTGAACATAAGGAAGGCGTTAAAGAAAAGATTTTAATTAATTAATTATTGTTTTGAGAGTAAGAAGTAGGATAGGGTAAAATTTAATTGCGAAATAAATAAAAAAACAAAACATAAAATAAATAATGTATAAAGAAGAAAATAAATAAATAAATAAAAATAATCAATAAATAAAGATAAAATGATAAAGAATCACATAAAAAAGAAATGGAAAAAAAAGAACTCTAAATAAAAAAAAACAAAAATAAAATAAAATTAATAAAAGTAAAATAAATACATAGATAAAAAATTATGAGCAAAATAAATGAAAATAAAAACATAAAAATACAAAAATGAATGGAAGTAAAAAACATAGATAAAATAAATAAAAACAAAATAAATAAAAATGTAAATAAATAAATAATAAATATATAAATAAAAAATAAGAGTGATGTTGTAATAAAATAAGCATATCGCATTTCACCTCCCGCTTGTAACCATCTGCCGCAAAAAATTAAACGTTTTTCAGTCCTAAAGCACTAAATGAGTCAAAGAAAACTTCATAAGCTCTGTATTTGTTAGTTATTACTACCGTAATTCCCCATGTATAATACGCAATTAAAAAAAAAAAAAGAAGCAAAATCAAGGGTGCGTATTATTCACAGCTACAGAAATTCTTTATAAAATTGCCGTAAAATAAAATAAGAATTATAAAACTAAATTAGAATAATAGTATTCCATGTTTAAAACCATTTTTTAAATAAGAGTAGGGAGGTACAATTTATAGGGATGGATTACCAAACAAGGGGTGCGTATTATGCATGAGTAGAAGCATTTTTCCCTACTTTCAGCACAATTTTATGGATGAAGGGGTATTATACATGAGGAATTACGGCATATTACAAGTGAATAGATTCAAAACAAACCGAAATAAAAATAAATTAAAATAAAACGAATTCTTGAGCACTAATAATTATTTTTTTCTGATTTTCTATACATTTAAATAGTAAAGTCATTTAAGCACGTTTTTCATGTTCAAATGACGCATACAAATCTTGCACTTCTATAAATTATTGTAAAAAAAAATCATACCAATATTTTTATTATTTTTTATAGAATTTATTGCTTCAATATAAAAAATAGATGAACACAAATTTCCTTAATTAGACATTTTAGTCAATTTTAATTCTAAAATTTTAATGTTTTGAATTGAATTAATTACTGAGATCAACAACTAATTGTTTAAATTTTGATTAGTCAATTGCGATCTTCATTTGTTTAAAATTAATTTCTAAGCTGAAAGTTTTCGAATTTGTACATCGTTCCAAAATTGCAAATATAATTCTGAACAAATTTTCTTAGTTCTAGAAAACTTTCTTAGATGACAGGATTATGATTGCCAGAAATTAATAAATATCACGAGCATCTGAAATTGAGGGATAATCATAAAATTACATTTTCATTAATTATTTCCCAACATGGAAAGCACAATTTGTATGTTATTGGCCACCTTCATGATTCTTTTTCGTTTTAATTGAAGTAAGTGTATAATTGCAAGTATGTAGTCTATACGTTTTCCCATTTTCATTGAAATACATGATTACAGTAATCTGTTTTTTGTTTTTTTTTACTTGGTTTGGTTTGGTTTTTGTTTAATGCCGATAAAATTTTTATTGCTGGTAATGTTTTTCTTAAAAAATCTATTTCTGGGAATATTTTTCCTTGAAGGAATGTGTAACTGTTTGCATTGCTGGTATTTTTTTTTAAGAATTGCTGATAATAATTTTCCTTCAAAAATCATTACTGGTAATAATTTATTTATTACAGAGTATTTCTGGTATTAAAACCTATTTTTACACAAGTTTCGGTGTTAACTATTTGCCCATAGCTGGGACCCTAACAGGTGATACCACCCCGGACCTGGGAACACCAGCAATTAAGAGGTGATTCCATGCTCCTCAAAACCCCCTGATTTGAGGCCTAGTTTATTGTCTTACCTAGGACGCGGATGTAGTTTATCTTCATACCTAGGACGCGGATGTAGTTTATCTTCATACCCAGGACGATCTTATTCTTTTGTGTAGCAATAAGTAAACGAATCATCAAAAATCCAAATTGCAAACATTTAGCAGTAATAAGAACAAATCGATAACGTATGAGAATCAACAGTAAAATGATTAGCAAAAATCACTAATATACCAAAAATTAATTAAGTAAAGCGCTATTTTTGGCGCATGCGTAATGGACTGGTCATCACTAATATGTTTCAAAAATGATTTCGGATCATAAGGATGTTCTAAAAGATAATCGAATCCAACTAAGAATTTGAAATTAAGATAATATATGTAGTTATATTTACTAAACTTGGCTTCGTCCTGCATAAGCTCAATAATAGTAAAATTATTTTGCACCAATAATCCAAATGGGGTCAGCCCAATACTCTCTCCACGTGTCTTAAAACATGGGCACTCGAAATTCTCTTTTTTTACCTCAGCTGGTGATAAATACGTGACTCAGTAACCCCAACAGGTCCATTATATTTCATTAGATAGTAAAGGTGTATATATTTAAAATTCCTATATAGTTTATGAATATATATCTTATAGGAGATACTGTGGAGTAATGGATAACGGCTAGGATTGAGGAATCGAATTCCAGCAGGATCCGTTACATTCACTTATGGGAAAGGCATGAATCTTCTTCTTCTCCCCCCAGCTATGGGTAAAATAGCAGGACAGACTAGGATCTGTAGCCTTGGGTGGCAACCGGTCTAGGAGAAGGAAAGGGCTGGGCTATCTTGCCCAAGAAACACCACTTCTACTGCGACTGCTGTACATGTGGTACCCTTACAACCTTAATGGGTCATGGGATTCGTAATCATGATATACCTTATGAAAAAAGAATACGACATATACATAGTTTCAAAGGACATGATTTAGCATTCTTTATTTTCTTTCTCACTTTGTAATTAGGTATACATTTATACATACATACACGTATTCCAGGATACCCGTCTATTAGAGCGACTAGCCAATCCCTATTGTAGACGCTCACTCAGACACGTTTGTGTTTGTTCAACACCCACAGGACCAACCTGTGGTTTATTTTGCAAGTATGCTGAGCAGACCTTTCTGGGAGGGAACGTGTTATCTAGCGAGATCAATAATCTGAACAAGACCAGCACACTCAAACCCTCGGTCACGATGACTTGTGACTTCGTGCTAGCACAGCTATCGACGATCTCCCAAAAGTTCCGTCTACCAAATTTCACTCACAAGATTTGGGTCAACTCGTGGTATGGTTGTCATACACTTTCCAAAGGTGCCGCACACTGGGATCTTCCCCCTCTTCTCCATGGTGAGATTCGAACCCGGGTCTCATGGCCATAAAGCGAACGTTCTAACCACTCGGCCACGCGCCCGTTCATCTATTCATACATACATGGTGATTGCCACATCTCACTTAAATGAGAGCTGACTTCTCACCATTTGCCTCATTTGTTATGGCTTCTGTCTCATCTAGATGTCCATATCCCCCAAGGTGACAACTAAGACCAGTATTTGATTTCATAGGTATCATGCATATATGACAGATAAATTCTGTGTCCTTGATTGGGTTGATAGGATTTGCATACATTACAACTCCCCTGTATAGCACAGTGTACCTTCTCGGGCCAGTTGATTATCTGCAAACCTTCTTGCAAATAACACAGGTATTGTTGGCAGGACGATGAAAAAGGTTGGCTTGCTTCTGGTTGTTATGAGGAACTTTCAGATAGCTGACTCTCGACACCAGCATGCACTCACAGACACCAAATTTCCAAGACTGCATATTAACTGACAAATCAGAGTGAGTCCCCCTTCGTAGATAGCATACATATATACATACATACACCCCCACATATAGACTGTGCTTATTTGTTGGATATTAATGATCAGTGTTTCTAATAAAGAAAGGCCTGTCTCTCTACTTGCTATGCTTAAGGCCGGATCACGTTGAAACAGCAGTTCCCGTACGTTAAGCAACATCGAACCAGATAAGTACATAGATGGGTCACCGCCTGGGAATACCAAGTGCTGTAAGCTTTGATGTGCGGGTGGTGTAATGGATAATGGCCCAGAATTGTTAATCGGAGAGCCGAGTTCCAATTCCCGTGGTGTTCGTTCTATCAACCTAAGCGCAAATACCTATGGCTATGGTATGAATTCATATCTTCTCACACAGATAAGACTTGTTTCCCTAAACCATTATTATCTCAAAAAATATTCTTAGACTCTATAAAGATTTTCTGGCTTTAAATAACCTACAAAGGGTTGATAAGCCGTAGAAAACGAATCTCTACTTGCTACATACAGGAACGTTTATATGTACCGGAAACGGAACGGCAAAATGTCAAATGGAAATAGTCCGAAGTAAAAAAAAAGAAAAGAAAAGAAATAACAGGACCTTGCCTGTGAGCTGCAGAAATTTGAATATTGTGAAGATCCTCGCAAAATTATTGAAACAATTAGAGTTTTAGGAAAGAATCTGGGGCAAGAAGTGGTTTGTTCATTTTAATGCATTTAAAACGAAACCGCTTTCTATTAATCATTTTAAAGAACATTTTTGCCTCCCATCAGTATGGCTTATGCTATATGAGTAACATGCTATTCGTTATCAATAGAATTGTTATTCATAATTTTGATAATGTTGCAGATATCAACTTGGAGATAGTAATTTTCATTAACATTTGTTTTCTCTGTTACTATCAACGTCGCAATCTTAACATCATAAGAAGAACAATTTCTCTTTGTATATGTTAGCGACATTTTCCCGCGTTGCATTAGAACTCTCTCTCTCCCTCTCTCTCTCCCTCTTTCTCTCCCTCCCTTTCTATCCCTCCTTCTCTCTCTTTCGTTTTAATGTGCTTGCGACTGTGCATATCGATTGTATTTCCTCTAAACGCTTGTACTCATATTTACATGAATCGATCTAATTAATGATTTTATCTTTCCATTGAGCAAGGATGCTGACAGGAATTGTGTCGACTCCTTGAACCTCTGATTTCATATCGGGTTCGTGTCCGTTTTATTCAGAAGTTTCGAAGTCATCTTCTTTTCGAACAATGATACCACACGAGAGACAACTGTATCTTTCACTCACGCTTCTCGTCGGTGTTCAGTTTTAGTTAAAAGTCAGAATTACTTTTTTCTTTTCTTTTAATCAGAAAACTACTCTGCAATTAAGCGACTGGGACATCAATATATCCACACTTCCTTGTTTACTTGCAAAATCTGCGATACATACATATTTTTTTTTATATAAAATCATGTTCTTATCTATTTGTTTTGCTCTTTTATCGATCTATAATTCACGACGGACCTCAGCGTGAGGTAATGGCTAACTAGTCTATTCTGGTTGACCATTGTTACTGAGTGGGGATACGAATCTCTCTGTGTGGCAAATACAAAATTCGACACTTAAATATTCCAGCAAGAGTCGACATATCGTAAAATCAGCTGAAGTGGTATGTATGTTAACCGAGAAAATATATATACAACCAAAAAGATTTTCAACAAAACGGTATACACCCTTGTGTAAATTAATTGAAACTTTCTTTCTTTCACCATATCATCAGTTTTAGACCCACTGGAGTGACAGTATGTAATTTTTTATTTATTTTTCTTCAGATTAGGTCATTTGCAAAGGCGTGCAGTAATATAGATCTATTTTAGGGGTGTATGATATAATTTGTTTGGCCTTGAAAAATATTGCGTCATCCGTGATTACATCAGATTTTTATCACGCCCAGACACTATTGTCTTGACTGTCGATTAGTTATCCTACGGCCATATATGAACGTTACTTCAAGGAAGCGTACGAAAATTGTAGCGTTGCACGAACACACTGGCAAGCCTTACCAGTGAGCAAATCAAAATGCTATAGACTGGCACGGAAATTTTCCTGATTTAAATCCAATCGAGAATCTGTGGTCAATCTGCAGGGAACGACCTCGTGGAATAGATATACGAAATACTAACATATGCACTGGATCATGTTTCATTGGAAAAATACGAAAAAATGTAAATAATAACGGAATTATTCGTTTTGTTTCAATTAATTTGCACAAGGTTGTAGAACGAAAGCAAATGCTCAATAGATTTTCATTTTCTGAAAGGTTTATTGCAGCCATGGGGAACTTTTTTCGAGCAGTGGACTGCATGATCTATGGCTCATCACAAGGTCGGCTGCATTACTATAAAGATTCATGTTAATTTTTCGTATTAGGTACCTCAGCTACTTCTGTACCTTATGGTATATGGTACCTTAGAAATGGTAGGAAAGTTTTAGTTTTTAGAAAATATTTTTTATAATTAAAAAATTGAAGTCTTGGTATAATATTATCACTGATGACAGTATGATTATCTGATGTCGCTGGGTGGGATATATTTCTGATTTATTCATTTGAAAATGTAAGCATTTCTTCTTTATAGAAAAAAAATTCTTATGGACATTTCCTGTTGTAAAATCAAATGATGTTTACACGTATGATCTTAGTGAATATCGCCAATGGTTTAAAATGCTGACAACATTAGTTTTCCAAAAATTTTACAAACTTCAAGAAACATTGTACTTAATTATTGTTATCGATGTGGTTATGTATGAGAGAGTGTGTGAGTGTACAAGTGAAAACAAAACAAAATAGAATTTTAAGAAATATTATTTTCCTTATGAAATTAAGCGTGCTATTCAGAAAGAACAAACGGTCAGAAAGGTCGTTGTCTGCCCATGACTATTTTATTGTATAAAGCAGAACAGACATCAGGCTATGGAAACAAAGTACGCATTTCGTTACCAACAAAATTCTAATACCTGACCGCCTAGTGAGGATCATTTTCTCCACAAAGCTAAAGAAAAAGAGGTTTATTTTTTAAAATACGGGTTTTAAAAGATACTAGTTAGCGCGTAGATCCTCAAGAGTCGATCGTATGTGCCTCCTATTCCTGTCATGGGACGAACAATGAATATTTAATACGGAAAAAATAATTAAAAAAAAAAAACAGTCGTTTATTTTAACTCGTGAAGGAAAAGCAAGAAGAAAGGATTAAACATCAACTGCATGAAGACAGGATGCATGGCTTTTAGCAAAAGGATGAACCCAAAATGCCAATTACAAAACGGAGTTACCAAAATTAAACAAGTATAGAAATTTCAATATCTGGGAAGTGTTCTAACAGAGGACGTAAAGTGCGACACTGAGATCCGAAGACGTATTGGGATGGCCAAAGATGCATTCCAAAAGATAAGCAGAGTATTAAGAGACTGAAAAAATTTCGTTAGAAATAAAAAAAAAAAGAAGATTACTGGACTATTACGTGGTACCCGTCCTCCTATATGGCAGTGAATGTTAGACAATCTCCTAAAAAATGTGGTTCTATAGAAGGATATTGAGGATACCATGAACCGAACATATGAGCAACAAGGTTTTAGAGAAAATGGAAACAAAAAAGAAAACTTATACTTAACATCAGGAAGAGACAGTTGAAATTTTAAAGGGAAATGAGGAAAGATAGTTTGGAAATTCTGATACTCACAGGACAGATTGATGGTAAGAAGGACAGAGGTAAACAACGCATAATCTACCTAGCGTGCTTGAGTAAATGGATTTAAGAGAAACAACAAAAAAAAACAGAATTTATTCAGAGCTACAAAGAACAGAAAGTTGTGGAGAGCCATGATCACCTAAAGGGACACGGTACATAAAGAAGATTACATACCAGTTCGATAATACCCCCCTGTCAAACCAACATGTTACTGAAATCAAAGCAGTAACACCTTGACTGGTTTGGGATCTGGCTATACAATCCATAAAAATTTATAGGTGCAAATGTCTACAAAAATCAGTTGAATATTTAATATATGCTTTGAAATTCCTTTTTCTTGAATTTAATTAATAATAATAATTTTATCTCATGCGAGATTTTATTTATTTATATTTTAGGATTCTATAAAATATTTAAATACTTTGTTTCGTGATTTTATAAGTGAACAAATACAAAAGTCGTTGTAGAAATGGTAATTTTTGTATGTATTTCAGTGGTATTAAAAAAAATCCTACGCCCAATCGGTTTTGAGTTCAGATTTTCTTCTCTAATCTGCCAACCAAAGTTAGATATCCCAGTCTGCTTGGTTATTTAACCCATGGATGAGGTCAAAATAGATGAAATCATACTTTTCCTAAGCGTAAATGTAATTTATAAGCGGCATGGTGGCCGCAACACCATTTTCCTGCTGATAGCCGCAACGCTATATGTATATCTTGTAACAATACAAATATTAACCATTTGAGCCCTGACCACCGCTTTACCGGTGATAGAGAAAAATGACTTAAATGACCGGTTGAACGGTGGGGAAAAACTTGTAACTAGTTTTATATCTACCGTGAAACATTACATACTAATTATTTGCGAATTTTGACTTAGCAGCTCAGGCAGAAGGGTTAAATTATTCAGGAACGCAAGTCTCAAAGAGTTAACTATTATTAGTTAATGTTAATACTATTAGTTAATACTAGTTAATATTAATACGAATACTAACTAAGCTCTATTTTGTCTGGTATATAGAGATTGGTTATGGTACTTACTGTTTCTAAGTTGTTGTCTATATGACTAGGATCATAATTGCTTAACTTTGGCAATGCGACAGAAACCATTGCTTTTAACGTGAATTGAAAGCAGTCTAAAATACATTACAGTAAAATAATTGAAGAAAAAATAAATGTAAACAAAACAAAAAAGATAAAGAAACAAACAAAAAACCAACCTTGAACGGCGTCTCCAGAAATCGCTTGGGACAATACGGACAATTTCTACCTTAATACTACCAAACGGAAAGATATAAGAATGTTGGAAAAACTAATAAAAAATTTGATTAAATTTTCTTTGTCTACCATCTTCAACTAATATATATATATATATATATATATATATATATATATATATATATATATTAAAGAAAAACGAAAACCGTTGATAGAACCAACGGACAACTTGCCAAATCTAAAACTCTTAACGAGATAAAGTCTGGAATAAATCCGTCAATAATGACGAAAGAAAGAGAGAGAAAAAAAAAAAAAAAGGCCAGAAAGCCAACTTGCCTACTCAGTAAAGTGCTCGAAGCCTAGATTGCTTAGACCGAGCAAAAAAAAAAAACACTTACCATTGAAAGGGAGGTTCTAGTCGTAAGTTTCACGCTCACGCGATCTTCAGATTCTTTGAATACACACACACATATATATATATATGTATGTGTGTGTGTGTGTTTAGTATGTAAATATCAGTTAGTTTTTCACGTAATTAATTATATATATATATATATATATATATATATATATATATATATATATATATATATATATATATAACAAGAAAACAGACATTAAAAGGTCTGTTTAAAAGCGTGTGTAATAAAAAAAAAAAATTAGAGTAAAGTTGTAACATTATCTTAAGTTTTGGTGTGTGGAAGGTAATTTAATTTTATTAACCACCTGAAGAGACCTTGGTGGTCGAAACTGCAGTCTTGTTTCTATCCAGCGCCTAAAGTTTTTATTACATATATGTGTATATATATATATATATATATATAATTATGACATTTGTTTTCTAATTCTTGTATTATTTTAAATGCATTTTTTTTCAATTATACAGTTCATTTATTCATTTATTAATTTGTTTTTTTATATTTTTGGAGTTTCTAAATATTTGTATTTGAATTAAAGTTTATTAGATTTAGATTATGGGATTGTATTTAGCATTTTTATTAATAATGTGGTCGTAGGTAGCATAGTAGAAATTTGTTTACGTATTTGCATTTGGAAAGGAGCCCTAAATAAAAGTACTTGGGTTAGATTCATCCTTGTTCCACTCTCCTTAATTTCCTTGTAGACCGTATATAGAGACCGCGGAAGTAGTACCGACACATGGTTTGAAGTATTCAACCGTGAAACTGACAGTCACGTTGCAGTGTGGATTCCTATTCCCTCACACACACACACACACACACACACACACACACACACACACACACACACACACACACACAATTTTCTTATTCTCTCCCCATCTAACTCTCTATTTTATTACGTGTGCATATTTTTTTTTACATCTATACTCAGATTTGCGCTAATTTATTATCACCAATTTTAGTACGATGTCACTATCCCACATATAACTTTCCCTTGCGATTAATCGATATTCCATACAAAAGGATCAATACCTCCCACTAGAGAGAATAAGAGAGCAGTAGCGAATAAGTATATTAAAGCCAGTATCCATTATTATGATTGTATTTAAATGGGATTTTTGTTCGAAGTTCTCGCCACAGTCCTACGATACTAACGTCCAGTGTTAAGACAAGGCGAACTATGAAGTGCAGTTGGGAAAAAATACCGACGTATGGAATCTATATATAAATCTGTCTGTCTGTCTGTCTGTCTGTCTCTCTCTCTCACACACACACACACATATATATATATATATCTATATATATCTATATATATATACACTTATGCAAATTAATTGAAACAACTGCTTTAGTTTCTTTTCTTTCACCATACCGTTAGTTTTAGACCCACTGTAGTGACATTGTGTAATCGACGTCTATTTTAGCTCAGATTAGGTCATTTGCAGTGGTGTGCAAATAATAATAATAATAATAATTATTATTATTATTAAAAACTTGCGCACAAAACGTATTGTATTGTAACCTATTCTCATAGGCACGCTAATACTAGTAACCTATTCTCATAAGCCGATTCTATTGTCAGGGTGTATGATAAAATTTGTTTGGCCTTGAAAAATATTGCGTCATCCGTGATTGCATCAGATTTTCATCACACCCAGACACTGTTGTCTCGACTGTCGATTAGTTGTCCTACGGCCATTGTCTGCGATGGTCGTTACCCCAAGGAAGTGTACAGAAATTGTAAAGCTGAACGAAAACACTGGTAGGCCTTAACAGTGAGCAAATCAAAGTACTATAGATTAACTTGGAAACTCAATCCAATCGAGAAACTTTGGCCAATCTGTAAAAAAACAATTCCGTGGAATGTACATACGAAGTACTAACATGTGGAAAAATACGAAAAAAAATAACGGAATTATTCGTTTTATTTCGATCAGTTTTGACAAGAATGAATATATATATATATATATATATATATATATATATATATATATATATATATATATATATATATATATATCATAAAAAGAAAAGAGAAATCTCAAACGTTGTTGGCTGTAATGCGGATTTTTTAAAGCATGATTTATTTTTAGAAATCCACATTACAATAAAAACGTTTGCGGTTTCTCTTCTTTTATTATACACACTTTCTCTCGTTGGAACCACTACAAACTCTTCCCTATATATATATATATATATATATATATATATATATATATATATATATATATATATATATATATGGGGGTGTCCGTGTGTGTGTGTGTGAATAAAGACAAAAGCAAAACTTATCTTCCCCAATGATTTTCCTCCTCTGTTGGACTATATCAAGGCAAATGTAAGGATTTTATTTTGCAACAGCTATTTATAAAACAAAAGTAAAAATGTCGTTAGTGTTTCATAATTTTTTAAATTCAAGAACGCTCAAAAATATACATCCGGCAAACTGAAAGCCAAGGTAAATTATGGAGGATATAATTTAATGTCTAACAAACAAAAGTGAGTAAATGGTCTTAATTTTTTTTTTATAAGGTAGTTATTATTTATATTATTTTAGTTTTGGTGGGCCTCAAAGGAATGCCTACAAAGTGTCTGAGTATTTTAGGGTGGGGTCCGGACAATACGATTGATACACCGTGGTGTAATGGAATGCAGCTTTGGAATGGGAAATCGGTGAGCTGAGTTCGAATTCCATTCGGGTTCGTTACTTTCACGTTTGTGCATATACAGGGGGATGCAAATGTAGGTATAACAAAGTGAAAAAAAAAATTCTCCCTGAAATGTTCAAATTGTTGGCACCGACATTCACAGACTCCTTTTTACTTGCAAATCATTTACCATTTATTATTATTATTATTATTATTTAATCATTTCACCCCAGGAAAGTGGTTTACTTGCAGGGGTTTACAAGGAGTGAAAGTGAAAGAAAAGACTGAGTAAAGGGAGGATTGAGAAAAGAACAAAAGATGAAAGGGATGAAAGACAGAAGATGGCGATTGACGCTGTATCTAAATTTTTGAACATTGTAGTTATCAGGGAAGCAAGGAAACAGAAGGGATTTATTAAAAAATAAAAATTATAATAAATGTATAGAAATAATAAAAATGATTTTAATTAATTCTAGTATTAAATAAATCCTAGACCCAATATTATAATATTGCTGCTACTGGTATTATACTTACTGTATACTTACTTTTGCTGCCCACTGTATATATATATATATATATGTGTGTGTATGCACGCGCATGCGCGTGGTTACATATGCAATGGTAACATTTCTAATTTTTAATGATTTTAGCAAGCCTTCGGAGCCTTTAAATTCCCTTGCTCCCTTATACGCAGCATAGTGGCGTCGATAAGAAAGAAGAAATTGATTTTTTATTTGCAACCCATCGGTCAAGACCGATGAATAAATGATAATCATTTGCCATTAAACTCTTGGTTGGGTTTTCCTTTTATTTTCTAGCAACAATTGGATTATTTATACGTGCTTATTTTACACTAAAACAGACCCCATCAGTCTTTATCAACATTAAATGAACCAAAGCAGTTTAACGTTAATTGTAAGTGCTGACTGGATGTCGACATTAATACTGTCGAGGTATCTGTTAGTTCGGAATTTGTGGTTTGATTAAATAGCGCTGGATTTTCGTTGTAACGGATGTCATTATACTTAAAAGCTTTGTTTGTAAGCTTACATTCTCCAAGATGGCGCTACAGCTGAGAGAATCAGGAAGACTTCCCTCTTACATTGGCACTTCTTAAATTGAGTGGTCTGCTTGTAAAAAATAGGGAAGAATTTTATTTTGGGGGAAATCATTTTTGTAGATTAACATTCGTCAAAGCACAACATTTGTCAGAATCGATAAATAATTTTCTTATCATTTTAGAAACGATCTGTTCATAAATTAAATAAAATGTCAAATCTACCCCTGACGTCTTATAGAATTAACTGTAGTTTGTCCTTATTTGCAAAGGTCAAGGTTGAAACTGTGCTGACAGCAATGAAAATTACGAATTGAGAGAAAAGGACATCAATAATACTATTCCCTACGTTTTACGAGCGAGCCAGTTAGTTTATCGTGTGCCTTACAATTCGTATATTCAATAAAAACATTGCTCTCGTAATTTTAAAGGTGAAAGTTGAAAAAGAATGTGCATTTGTCTATCCCTTTAATATGAAATCTACGTTACTTACAGTAAGTAGCCAACTCACTAAGTTGCAATCGTGGACAGGATAAGTTCGATAGCCACGCGACGAGGTAAATATATATTACCATTTACAGGTTTGTTTATCTATCTATCTATCTATCTATCTATCTATCTATCTATCTATGTCTGTTTTTTATCTATCTATCTATCTATCTATCTATCTATCTATCTAATCTATTTGTTTTATCTATCTATTTGTTCTATCTATCTATCTATTTCTGTTTGTTCTATCTATCTATCTATCTATCTATTTCTATTTTCTATCTATCTCATCTCTTTCTATCTATCTATCTATTTATCTATCTATCTCAGTCTCTTTTCTATCTATCTATCTATCTATCTATCTATCTATCCTATCTATCTATCTATCTATCTATCTATCTATCTATCTATCTATCTATCTATCTATCTATCCCAGTCTCTTTCTTTCTTTCTTTCTTCCTTTCTTTCTTTCTTTCTTTCCCAGTCTCTTTCTTTCTTTTTCTTTCTTTTTTCTTTTCTTTTCTTTCTTTCTTTCTTTCTTTCTTTCTTTCTTTCTTTTTCTTTCTTTCTTTTCATTTCTTTTCTTTCTCATTTCTTTTTTTCTTTTTTCTTTCTTTCTTTTTTCTTTCTTTCTTTCTTTCTTTCTTTCTTTCTTTCTGTTGTCCATTCATGACGTGGGCGATCATCACTTAGTCGTAATAAGCGATGTTTGTCTTTGTTTTGCCATTCATTTACATAAACTCGTTTGGTAGTCTACTTGTTGTGTCCCTCTGCTCCTTTACACCTCTTGACTTTAATGTGCCTTGTGCGTGTTACATTCTCCATGCCCTCTTTCCTCATTATATATCGCAAATATTTCAACAGTCTCTTTTTGATTCGGAATAGAAGTTTTTTTCTCATTTACATTAAAACGTTCTTATTGATCCGATGTCCAGTTCATGGAATTCTCGAAATCCTTCTGTAGAACATCATATATTTCACCCCAAGTCTTCTTTCCAGCTGTGAGGAAATTGTTCAACATTCACTGTCATATAAAATGATTAATATTACATAGTAGTTCACTGTCCCAAGTATTCCATATCTATCTATCTATCTATCTATCTATCTATCTATCTATCTATCTATCTATCTATCTATCTATCTATCTATTATTAATTTGGTTGACTACTACCGTTGGTTCACGCCATTCATTCTTCTCGTGAAAGCCTCCTGCAGGATTCCCAAGTATTCCTCTTCCTCTCTCACTTAATACAGCCTTCCAATTTCTCCCATGCGGCAAGGATCCAACAATCGATATTATAATCTGATTGTCGTGAGCCGCTTCCTAGCCCTGAAACTTGGCATCATGCCACTTTATAGTGGGGCATAAATACACACTGGCTGGCACACACGTACCCCATAATATAAACGACGCTCACACATGCATACACAAACAGAAGTTTACACATAAGCACAAACACGCACAACTATATGCACGCATATGCACATTTACGTACACATATTCATAGGCACTCATACCTATATTGATGCATACACACAATTTGGCTAGTATGCTTGCTGGATATTGGCTCAGCTTAGTTTAATGCTGTTCAATAATATAGGGAAGTGAAGTAGAAATGAGGTTTAAAAAGAATATGATGCGCCAATCCTTTAAGTGGATGAAGATATGCCTACACATAATATCAACATTCGCAATCCACTCTTTGGCCTGTCCACTGATCAGTTGCGATGAATGGTAAGAAGTAACTACCCCAATTATTAAGTAGGTCACACCCATAAAGCGATTTTCTAAGTTCGGCTTAGATGCGGCACAAGGCTGTAAGTATGGGGCACCCAGTGAGGATCGTACTTACTACTCAGTCGCAACTGATCTAGCAAGACAAGCTTTCTAACCATTACACCACGTCGAGGTGCCCATATATATATAACCTAACGAGCGTTTCGGTATGAAGTTATAAAGTGTCTACCCTAATTAAAATTCTTCTTCTATGTGCCAGGACGTTGGGTGATCATGACTCTCCAAGATTTCCTCCCTTTTGTAGCTCTTAGTAAATTCTGTCTTTTGGCTCTCTCCTAATCCCTGTTCTACCAACCGTTTACACAAACCCATTAAATAGGTTATGCCTTGTTTTTTGTTCCCCTTGCCTTCAATCCGTCATGTGAGTGTTAAATTTTCTAAGCTGTCTTTCCTCATTATGTGCTCTAAAAATTTCAACTGTTCTTTCTGATGCTAAGTATAATTTGTGTTTCCATTTTCTTCAAAACGTCGTCGTTGCTCACATGTTCTGTTCATGGTATTCTCAGTATCCTTCTGTAGAACCACATTTCTGTTGCTACATCGGTTAAAAAGTAAACGATTTTCAATCCATTGTTGAAGCACTGAATCCATTGTTTATTTCAGTAAGTAGTTATCATTTTCATATAGGCATAATTGTCTCGTGACAGCCACTGTGGAGAATTTGGGCAGATTGACCATTTTCTCCATCTATCAAATTACATCAATCGAAATCACTCTTCAGTAAGTAAGGAAGCATAATTAATTTTCATTCTTTCTATCTCTGAGGAAGCCATATTGCTCTTTAAATTCCCCGAACATTTCGTTAGCGCCTTGTAAATATTCACGAACATACATTGCAAACTGCGTACGCGAGCGCCTACCCACACACACTCATACACACAAACTCACGTACATGGCACGCACATATACGCACACACAGGCGCATATACGGCACGCACATATACACATACACGGGCGCATATACACACCTTGCGTATATGTACTCATAAAGCCGAAATTATCATAAGCCGAATTCGATCCCTAGTGCTCCATTATAATGATCCTGTGCCAGATTAATTTATCTACAGTTTTCTTTTTTTCAAACTGGGATCAAAGTGTAGTATCTGGACTTCTATGCCATGTTTCTGCTTTCGGAAATGCAGCGAATGAAGCGTCGTCATGGGGATTCTAACATTGCGACAACAACAACTTCATTGAACTAAAAAGAGAAGGTTGTGTGATAGTGGTCACGAAAACTGAGCGAATTTTTGTTCTTGGTCTACTTGTGCGTATATGGACACTCAATATTAAACCGACTTTGTATTACATACGACTACATGGAGTTTGGGTATGTAAATAACGTGTACTTGCAGAAGAGCGATAGTTAGTAAGCTGTTTTCGTAGGCCTTAGCTAATGTCAGTGTTCCCTACTTCAGATACACCCCGATTTTCTGGCACAGTTGTTTCCAAAAACATATCGGATTATCAGTATTGCCAGGCCAACAGAAACCACACAATAACAATTCAGTAATTCACCTCTCACCCAATAATTTTGTATCTTTCGTGTATCTAAAACCTCATCGAATGTTAGAAAATTATATTAACCTATCTTATATATAAAGTACAGTATGCGTTTTGTGCATGTATGTGTGTCCAAACAACTCCTCCGATCCAACTTGTCTGATTTCAATGATTCCTAGCTCATTCAAAAGCCTTAGAAAAGTTAGGCACAGGGAACGATTTTCGTTGAGCTCAGATTCAGGGTTGTCAAATTATGCGAGGTTAAAAATATATATTAATATATTATACTAACCATTATCGTTTCTGTTATGGTTCAAGGGGTGTAACTCTTACTTTTCTTTCGTATCCAAAATTACAATGCACGTTTTATTATAAACTAGCTTAAAAGTGTATTAAAAAAGTTATTATAAACTACCTTAAATGCCGCCCTAGCTAGCTCTTATGAAGAACTCAAAATTGATCGCTGCATTTAAGTATTGAATTAATGTTTAAGCTTACCTTTTAAAAGTTCAACTATAATTCTTCTGCTACCACTTAATTTAAAGATGATTTGATGCACGTAGATCCTTATTTTCTGGACGAACAATTATTTTTATTTCATGGGTTACAGAACAGGGTACAATTTATAAGATAAAATTAATATAGTGTAAAAATTGGAAATTAGAATTAGTTATACATTCAACATTTGAAGAGTTAGGGAAACATAATTGCTAATTAAGTAAAACCTGTACTATGGAATCTGTATTAATAAATGCGAAATTGGAGCTCAATTCTCTCACGAATTCTGAGATTAAAAATCTTCAACTCTATTTTATAGTAATTTACACATGGTATTTAATCTGTCCCACCCACTAGGACGAGATGTGACACAAAGTCTATTTTTAGGTGAGGACCCGACCGCGTACACCCGGAACAGGAACAAAAGTTCCCCTCAAACTCCGCAGGCGTCCGTTACGCTGGCCTCGGTTCGAGCATCGATCCCTCCCTCTGGTGCAATGGGATGGCGCGGCCTCGGGCAGCTGTTCCCCAGGGCTGGGCGTCTCTCAGTATTATTTTCGGACCAATCGTTTTCTATCCTCATATTTTACCTTTCTACTTTATTCTTTAACGTTCATATCATAAGCTGGGGTACCAGCAAAATTATCAAGATCGTGTAACAGTATAGCTATCCTTCCCATCTAAAAAACACTAAACTAATTTAGTTTATTTTTTGTAGGTTTTCAGATAAGATGTTAAGCCATCTTGACACAATTTTTCGTAAGGACAACTGAAAACCCCTTTGAGTTATTCAGCTAGAAAGAGAACAGGTTAAAATTGTTTTGTATCAGACGCACTGTCTTCCTAAATGAGCAATGGTGAGAGAAAAAAATCATTCAGGCCTTCTGTAATGGTACCAACATTCATATTCTGGCTTCCATCTTCAAAGTCCATCTTCAAGAACCATCAAAAGAACGGTGAATAAAAAAGTTTTAAAAAAGTGGAAACATGAAAACTGGATTAGGAGGTCACAACAGAAATAGGGATCATCATTTCAACTTCGAACTAAAGAAATCAATTAGAGAAGATTCAAGAACAACCCATAAGACGTTTGGCACGTGAGAGAGGAATCTCAGCTATGACAGTCCAAAGAGAAGTGAAATATGACTTGAAAATGAAATTGTATGCAGAACCTGTGAGGCATCTACTCCAGGACAGATGGTTAGAAGGTTAGAGAGGGCGAAGATCATCTTGAATAAGTTGGAAAATGAATGATATTATATATATATATATATATATATATATATATATATATATTGATAATATTAGTGGTAAAATATACATACATATGCAATCATATATCTAAAATATATAAATATACATACATACATACATACATACATACATACATATATATTTGTAAAAAATAATTCCAAGAGTATAGAATCCAGATAGAGCTCAATGTCCAGGACAGAGTAAGAATATAATAAAAGGAATATTAGTGTTTAAGCTTTTTTATCATATATATATATATATATATATATATATATATATATATATATATATATATATATGAACTTTATTTCAATACTTTATGAGCTTCCGATCTTTATCTATGATTAATTAATGATGAACATGTCATTTTCGTTTATGATCGATTTCATCACGATGCTTCTGTTTAGACAGCAATTATACATTCTTATTGCTCAAAGTAGAGTCCAAATCTTCGGAGAATTCCAATAATATATCTTTAATCATTTCTAAGATACAAAAGTTCTGCGCTTACTCAGACGATTGGACAATTTTGCTGTTACACCCGGTGTGTGTTTCAATAACCTTCTAACTTGAGTGGGTCATGGACATTCTATTGGATGAAAAATGAGCCAGCAAATACGGCACTTATATGCATAAAGGCACAACCGAAATCCAATTTGAACACGCATTCAGATGACAGAAAAGGAATGGATAGTAAGTTGTTACTGATTTATAATGCTAGTGATAAACTTGTTTTCCAGTCAATATTCCCTAATTTATCGTTTACATAGGAACTCTCATGAGTTGTTCAAAGAAATGCTCTCTTTGAAATGCAGATAATTCAATTTCCTTGAACATAATGTAAATGAAGAGCAGGAGAAAACTAATGAACGTCTAATCAAATAATAGATTTAGAAATCAGAGATTCAGTTATGAGTGACACCATAACGAGGCTCGTTATAATGATCCCGATCGTCATGCTTTAAAGAAGGCGAATTTTTATAGAATTGCACGGTTATAACAGAGCAATTCTAATGCTCATTAGCAACTTGGCACATTTAACAAAGCTTCTGTTTATTATTTGCCCTATTTACATGTAGGCTATTGTTTTCATCTTTGTTGTTGCTAACACAACACTTCGGCTGGCGTGCCCTTCGTCTTTTCTGGGGTGTATATCAATCCGAGTAACCAATAGTGCTCGATATACACCTAATAAAAGCCGGGGAGTACAAGCCGAAACGTTGTGATATCAACAACAAAGATGAGGACAAAAGTCCGCATGTAAATTGCGCAAACAATAATAATAACTCCTCTTTCCAGAAATTCAAATAGAAATCTTCGGATATTGTGAATTAAGGTTTTATTTTATTTTATTTTTTTCTATATATATATAATTTTGAGAAGACTGTACTGTTCTTTTTTTTAATCAGTTCACATTAATCAAGGCGATAATGCCACCAAAATGCAAGGGCTACTGGGAGTGAAAGAGAATGAAAAAGACTTTAGAATGAACGGGAAATCTAATCCAAAATTGGAAACAAAAGATAAACCTCTAACCCTTTTCAAAAGACCGTGTGAACCGTAGGATAGGCAAACATATCTACTCCCATTGAGAAAAATAAATAAATAAATAGTAAAAATATTCAGAGTTTAGACAGAGACGTTGCATATAAGAAAACAGAAATAAAAGGTAGAAGTTAATAACAAAGAGATGGCGTTTGGGGCCCCAAGGTATGTTTAACGTCAAACATGTGTATATTTGTATGGAACTTAGGAATCTGTTAGTCTATTGTTAACTATTAAGTTTTAACTTAGTTTAAGTTGTTTAACAAGGAAAAAAAAAAAGAATACTTCAAGCGATGCTACAACAAGGAAAGCGCCTTTTACTGGTGCAGTGGTTAGCACACGAGTTTCGCAGATCATTTTAGCCCTGGAGTAAGTTCGATTACCACTGGGTGCTTTACGACTGTAGCTTTGTCCCTATCAAATACTTAAGAAGACTTATCGATAATTAACAAATTTGTCTCTCAAACATACCCTTAGTCACAGTCTTTCACTCAACTCCTGTTCATTCCACTTGTAGAGTATGGGGTCAGCGTCAACACGCAAGGTAAGTAGCAACGAGGTCTTCAGGGGACAGAATTTCTAGCCCCATTCCCATCCGGCTTTGAATTCAAAGTTAGCGTAGACTGGTTGCTGAAATGTCCAGTCTATCAACTATTTAACAAATGGATTCATACTTTTCCCAATGGTATTTGTGCAGATGTGAATGTAATGAACTAGACTGGAATTCAAACTCAGCTCGCCATTTCTTATTCCCGAGTTGCTAACATTTACACCACCTCTTAGTCTTATAATCAGTAAAAATTAGATATACCGTTTGTAGCAGCATAAAACGTGCTCGGGTATATTAAATGCACTCTTCTTTTAGAAGGGCATCACCAGGAAAAAAAGCTTTTAGTGTATTTAATCATGAATGGTTTAAAGCAATCTATCAGTAGTTTAAAGACATTAAAAAAGCATTTTATCTCTAGCAGAAAACATTACTGTGTATAAAAAGCAAGCTAGCAGTACAGCTGAATATAAGACAAGCAAACATGATAGTGAAAATGTCTTAAATGATGACTGGAATAAAACAGGCAAGAGAATAGAAAGCAGAAAACAATTTATAAAATCAAGCTAGTAATGCGGTTGAGCAAAAAACAACAAAAATCACATACAATATTTTACTGTTAACAACAGTTCTTTCAATTACTTCTTTTCTGTTGTTTCCAATTGGTTAAGTATAAGAGCATGCTGAGGCATATTTAGAAATGAGGGATCAATTGGTTTCACTGAACGTCGGGTTGCAGTTATTGCAATTTTTACAATACCGTTAATCGTTAATATTAATAATCCAAAAAATGTGGCACATGAAGACATCAGTAATTCCAGATGTATTTGGAGCACTCGGTTTGACTGTCAAAGGTTCCAATAGATTCACTGAAGTGATGCCTGGTAGCCAATGCCTTTAAAATACAATTTATTTATGTAAAATATGTGTTGGCTTTTTACATTTTACAAAATGTTCAGTGGAAAATGTCATGATAACATTTCTGACATTAGGTCGTTAATTGGGAGTCGGAAGAAAATAAATATGCAACAGAAATCAAAGGAAATAATAATAATAATAATAATAATAATAATAATGCGACATATGTGCACTGGAAGATATGCAAGAAGCACAAAATCGAAACCACTGAGAGATGGTATGAGCACTATCAGACACAGTTACCCAAAATAACGATGTAACTATCCTCTGGGATATGCCGTTCCAAACTAACAGGGAAATAAAAGCCAACAGATCTGATATTATCATAAAAGACAAGAAATTCAGGAATTGTATGCTTATTAACATAGCAGTATAATCTGAGAGAAACACCTTCAAGAAAATTATCAAGAATTTGTCCAAATACAAGGACCTGGAAATCGAGATTAACAGGATGTGGGAAATGAATACTGAGACTATACCAATAGTAATCGGAGCTCTGGACATCGTGAGAAAAGAAATGGACAGTTTTACTAAGAGTTTCCAAGGTAACATCAACATGCAATTTTAGCAGAAGATCGCCCTACTAGAAACATCCCATATTCTAAGAAAAGTGCTATCAGTTAAATGACAATTCACCTATAGGGCATAAGGACCATAGTTTAGACCCAGCTGTACAGGATACAAAGCAGGAAACATAACAAACACAAATAATAATAATAATAATAATAATAATAATAATAATAATAATAATAATAATAATAATAATGGATTCCTGGAAGTCCATGCCTCAAAGAAATACAAAAAATTGTTCTCACAAGTGCAGCCCACACTTTACGAAGGGCTTTATGAATATAATATTTTTTTTGTGAGTGGAGTGTCATGATGCCATTTCTAACCTTATGTCTCTGGGTGGGACCCGGGAAGAAATGTGTACACGCTAGAATTCAAAGGAAATAAAAAAAATAATAAAAGATTTCCTACCGTTCAGTGAACACAATTACATTATTTTTTCTTTTTTCTTGCATCTTTTGATAAAAAATTCTTTTGAAGTCTCTGGGGGGTAACTCAAACCTCACAAAGTCAAAACACAATAATAACAATAATAATAAAATTAGTGGACAATGTCATGAAGGCTTTTCTGACTTTAGATCTCTGGTTAGGACCCGGAAGGAAATATGTATACAATGGAAACCCAAGGAAACAATAATAATAATGATAAAAATATTCATTTGAATAATTAATATTATTATGGAGTCAGACTAGAAAGTGATCGCCTGAGGTAAAATAATTAAGCTACGGTAGTGAGCATTAGGGTTGTAATTAAACTGCGGGGAAACTAAAGTGGGTGAGCTTCTCTGGTAAACAAAATACGTTTTATATGCTGTCAGATACGGCAATTTAAAAAAGCAATGATTTCCGTTGGGAAATGAAAAGTAAATGCGTACATTTCTATGTCATTCTGCGATAAGATCTCTTCATTCACAAGCCTCTACTACACATCAGTATATTATTAATTATTTCCTGAAGGTACTAATAAATATGATATGATATTAATTATTTCCTGAAGGTACTAATAAATATGATTTTGAAATATAATTATTTAAATGACAGTAAATGCTTTGTGTTTTTTAGTCGTTCTTTTCCTTTTCTCAGAATTGTATTTGGAATCTCTCTGTGTCTGCCTATCCACAAAACATATACACGTCCATATACAAATGCTCATATATATATATATATATATATATATATATATATATATATATATATATACAAATTGTGTATGGAAAATGTCTCAACTTGACCCACTTCACAAAATCAGCATTTTGATGACCAAATATAATAATAATTTTGAGAAGTGGGTAAGCCTAAAACATTAACAACGCCCCTTCCTATATATATATATATATATATATATATATATATATATATATATCGAGGTATAGGATTGGTGTATACGGAATAATTTCCAATAACCAACAAATACTATTCTTAAAAGAGTGCTCAATTCAGAGTAGAGCCAATATAACCATTTATTCGAAAATTATAACATAAAACTGTTATAAAATCACTACTAAAATAGCCAGAAGTGTTGAAACAAAATGGCTATTTTAGTAGTGATTTTATAACAGTTTTATGTTATAGTTTTCGAATAAATGATTATATATATATATATATATATATATAAAGAGACAGAAAGAGAGAGAGAGAGAGAGAGAGAGAGAGAGAGACAGAGACAGAGACAGACAGACAGACAGACAGACAGACAGACAGAAAAGAAAATTTGCTAATTTCAACTTTATTATTGTTAGGATAATTAACTTTATCTCCCCCTCTCTCATTATACCTATTTATATGTTAGTTAACATCCATCAAGTAATTTTATATTGTTCGTTGTCAGTATCCATATCTATCTATCTATCTATCTATCTATCTATCTATCTATCTATCTATCTAGCTAGCTAGCTAGCTAGCACGTTGCAAGCTAATTGTATATCTGTCTATATATCGTGTTTTAGCACTTGAGGCAGCATGCCAGAAAGAAAGTTTGAATAAAGCAACGAATAAAATATTGCTTTGGATCCTGCCCATAAATTTCTGGCGTTTTCTCCATGCCCTCATAAGGCACATATTTTCAACATTAGACCTAAATTGAAGGTCGATTGCGAGACCTGAGGAGTTGAGCAACTTGCTATACTTATTTGTCTTAAAGTTTTAATCTTCATGTATTGCAGCAGGAAGTGGTATACATATATAAAATACAGGCTCCAGTATAAGCGTTGATAACTTTAAGAGATTTCATTTTCTAATACGATTTTATCAAGAAAAAAATGCGACTATATATTTGGTAGTGAGATATTTACGAGAGAGTACTTGCTCGCCCACTTTAGTTCCTGCTAACCATAATGACAAGCTATAGAAAAGAAGAGTATAGAAAAGCAAAGTTTTGCCATTCTCTATGACATTCTTCCTTTCTATATACCATGTTTCTTCAGGATGTAGACAAACGTAGCTCTTCACGACAGCCTATCTTTTGTAGACTTTAGGTTTGTCTTTTTGCTGTTCCTCCCAATCGCTTTTCTTTCAACCATTTACACAAGCTCGTTAGAGAGAGTTCCTTGACACTTTTCTCTGTCACTCTTACATTCAATATGTCCAGGGGCTCTCAGTTTCTTTAAGAACTCTTTCCTCATTATGTTTCAGAGAATTGTCAAATGTCTCGTTTTCATTTGAAGTATAAGCGTCCTTAGATCACATAAAAAGATTCTACCCCTGAGCTGTTATTTTGTCGAACAGAATCCCGAGACGATGCCGATCACTCTGATCCTACCCTCTACAATTGTAAAGTCAACCGTTATTCATCCTAGATATCTACATAATATGCACTTCCTATTTCATGCCTTTTCGCCCTTACAAGCGCTTTGTTCAGTAACCCTCTACCTTGAGTGACTATCATGCATTATATTGGGTCAACACTAGTATATATATATATATATATATATATATATATATATATATATATATTATATATATTGCTATTACTATATTATAATGCCACTTGGGATTAGAACAATCTACCCTATTGGACTAAATAAAGGTTTCGGTTCGAAGTTCAAACAAATATCGCCTGAAGAAGACCAGAGCGTATAACAGCCGAAACGCCGTGAATATAGCAATAAAGATGAGGACAACATTCTGAACAATGTAAATAGAGTAAATAGTTACAATTAGCTCATCTTATATATATATATATATATATATATATATATATATATATTGTATATTTATATAACTGTATTGCTATTACTAAATTAATGTGTATATATTTTCTCACAGACAGTGACCAAGTAACTATACTATGTTGTGCAGTCGACAAATATATATATATATATGTGTGTGTGTCTGTATTTACAGGGTGCAATGGGTAAATTGCCACCATTTTATTTTTTTTATTTTGCGAATGTGCGTAGTTTGCACTTAATTTTGTTGACTGTAGGGTATAGTATGGTCAGTTGGGCGCCCTCTGTGCAAAAATATATATACATCAATTTTAGTAATATATATATATATATATATATATATGTGTGTGTGTGTGTGTACATTCCTAAGATGAGTATTTGTAATAACAGGACGCCATTCCTTCCGCCAGAAATTTAGAAACGGTATTCTATACTGCTTGTCATTCGCACCAAAAGTTCCAATACAAACATTTCAGAATGTTTGGTTTTCAATCTGAGGACACTGCAGACCATTCGGAAAGAGTTGGATGATATACCCTGACAACATCATGGAGTTTGGAGTGGTCACTAGTGATCATGACGTTATGCTTTCGTTTATCTTCCCACAGGGCCTCAGAATGTACATGGGGGCCTACATCAAGTGCCTTGAGGAGGTAATGCCGTTCTGGGTAAAGTGGGTGGCTGCTGGAAGACCCTATGTCTGGCAATAGGATCATTCCACATGAGCAACAGAAAAAGTCATTGCTGTTAGGCAATTTCTGCGACTACATCACTTCTTACATCTGGCCAGCTAACTCCCCAGACTGCACCCTACCTTGATTATTATATATGGGGCGCCTGTTGAGAGAGAGAGACTAACAAAACTTCTTGTAACACCAAAGATAAACTGAAGGCAAGAATTATGGCAGCATTCACAAACTTAAACTTGGGAGTCCGTCTAGAAGAGTTCCTGGAGATTCGGAAATACTTTGGAGGTCGTGATTGAAGCCAATGGTGATTTTATTGAATAAATTTACTCTTTAGTTATTTTTGTGCAATGTTGGTAAATATAACTGTTAAAATGAGATGCCAGTATTATTTTCATTTTTGCGTAATTTAGACGACAATTTATCCATCACACACACACAAACACACATATATATATTCCAACACACATATATATATATTGGAATATATATATTCCGAAATATATAATAATCGTAGTTTAAATAAAACGTATTCTAACCTAAACACCCCCCAAAAATCTTTAAGTATACAAATAGAAAAAAAATGCCGTAAGAATTTTTGCCGTCAACAATAAAATTAAAAAAAAAAAATCCAGACGACATGCATTTAACGGATGTCGAAATTCGTTGAAAAATACATCCCTACCCCTACCAAAACGAAAACCCTTCTTCAAACGTAACTAATAACTGATACATCAAAATACAGTGAAAATGAACACGCAACCACCCCTTGTCTGGATGAATGGATTTCTCTGTATCCTTGGAAACGTGAATTATGAATTTTTGCAGTGCCTTTAAAACCCAGTAATTTTAAAAATAAGTTACTCTAAAATTCGCTTGAGGATGAACTGGAACTAATGTCTTTGATTTAATTACATAATTAAATTCGAAGTTTTTAGCTTCCATTTTTGAAACATGGTTAGAACTGTGTAGCGAAAAAAATATTTTAAATTTTAAATTAATATATATATATATATATATATATTGGAACGAGAAATCTTTGAACCGAATTCGAATTCCAATTGAGTTTTTTTGCAATCACTTTTATGCAAATACCCTTGGAAAAGTTATGAATACATCTTTTCTACACCAAACTATGGGTTAAATATTAGGTTAGAAGGAAACTTGTCTAAGAGAAGGACAACTCTGAATTAAAAACAAAAAAAAACAAAAAAAAACTATTGCCAGTCATCCTGATGATTGTTTTCCATGGATTATAGCAGTTGATGTTTATGTTATACAAGTGTCTATGACTGTAATCTCAATATGTTTTTTTGAAGTGTATTATTGATAACAGATAGAAACTTGGGGAGCGTGCAACATCAATAACACACTTCAAAAAACATATTTCGATTTG